CACTTTGGTCTGGCCTGACTTTCACTTCTTCAGCCCTCAATAGGTAAAATATATAAAAACACACAATATGCTTGTTTGTGTCTGTACAGGAGTGAAGGATCAGGGCAGCTTTTAATCATCTTGTTCTCAGTTTGAGTGTTGAGTATATGAACTATGCAGCTATTGTGTAGCATGTAGTATTCTACAAATTGCTATTAGCGCTATTACTTGTATTAAAGCTCTCTTTCTCTTCGCCTATTTTACCATGTTTTTGCAATTAAGTGAGTACTGGGGAAGCACATTTTGAGAGGGGTCCAGTATTGATGGAGGGTGTGACAACGTTATAAAAAGGGGGGGAAAAGTCTTTACCATTACCATTTGCTTTATCTTTCAATTGATTACACAGTAGGGTCCTTTTCACAGTTTATGAAGAACTCCGCAAGTCAGTGGCAAAAAAATTACTTTTAGTGGACGCACATTGCACAACATGGTTACATTGCAGCCTGTATAGAGGCTTCTGAATGAAGCTTTATCCCTCAATACTGCACCAATCAATAACAGTTGCACCAATTAAAAATATGGGAAAATAGGATCCAGGTTGAAAAAATACCAAAGTACCAACTTTAAAAACTGTTGACAAAACGATTGTGGCTTTTACCTTTAAGCTAGTTTGTTTGTTTTACATTAACTTCTGAGTTACCAGATGTTTTAAACTAAAGGTGTTTTAGTCCTGGATAGTAAATCAGAACTCCAAAAGAGCAGCTGGATTCACGTGTGTGTACGTGATTTTATATCATCACATGGATGCAGCTGGTGATATTTTGGAGGAGGGGGAAGAGGATAAAGAGGAAGAGTTCACCTCCTGCCTGCATGACACAGCCGGACTCTGACTAATGGGGAAACTCTTTATGTATATGCGTCGCATTAATAACGGCACAGAGTGCACACCGTGGACATTAATAACAGCGAACAGTTGCAGAGAGCACACAGCACAGACGGCATCAATAACAACTCATAACCTTCACCGGCAACACGAATCATCATGCCGTGTGTTTGCCGAAAGTCAGGCCTGCCGACACTGTGTCCATGCACGCACCCTAAGAACAGAAAATATTAGTCTTAGCAATCAAATCAGCTAAAATGATCCAGAAACCGCTTCCTCTACCTGCTCCTCCACATGCTGGGTGGTGCACGGTGGGGATAGTTAATTAGGCCAATAATGTAGCAGTGTGTGTCTAATGATGAGCTCAGGTTCCATATGATTCACACTTTATTTGTGTGTGCACATTGTTACATTCATCAACGTCAAACCTCCGCAATCTTATATTTACTCTTTCTTTCCAATTTCACGTATCTGTGTATTCATAAAGCCCTGGAAAATCATTAACCGCGCTGGCGTGTTTCTTCATGTTCCCGCTGGAGATCTCGTTTTTCAAACGATGCATGCAGTTTTGCTGGTTTATAAAGTATAATGGCAGTGCGTCCCATGTTACACAGAGACAGAGAGCAGATGAGTCCGCTCAGACGACGCCTGTGATGTCCCCCGCTGTGAGAGACAATAACCAGATGTGAAGAGGAGAGTTTGACACATGCAAGTCTGCTCATTGTGGCCAATTACCGGGTAGAAGCATCCTTCTGGCAGCACAGGGAGAGAGACTGTCTCAACTTGGATTTCTCATCAAGAGCATCCATTCATTTGAATGTGAACCTTACACTGCTTTCGTGTTTCATTTTGCATATTGTTTCCATTCTGAGGCTTTGAGGCTGAACCACAGAGGAACATCAGCGTTTTTTACAAAAATATAACTGGAAAACCTATGTTCTTACTCTGATCCTCAATCTGTGTGTGTGTGTGAGGTAGTCACTTGTTGAGGGTCCTTTTCTCCTTCATAACCGTGGAGATGTTTTTTTCCACATACAAACAGTTCAAACTCAGATCTGCTACCTGCTTGCTGAGCGAGTAAATGAATCAAAGAGGTTATAAAAGTCAGATTAGCACCGGATTGGAGAACAGAACAGTGAGTTAGTGGCAGAGAGAGAGAGAGAGAGAGAGGGTGACTAGGCCTGCTCTCTCAAACGTAGCACTTTGCAAATACGGCACTTTGTTTCCGTGATGTGGGAGCTTATTATCTTAATATACATTTTTTTTATTCCCCCTTATAAAACACTGGCAGAGGAGAGAGGGCCGTTCTTCATGCTCCTCCTCGTAATAGCTTCTCACTTCTCATGCCTCATTCTATTACAAAAGATACAACAGTTAGTTAAGACCCCACGAAACATTTCATTTTCTCTGCTGCTAATTAAATGTGTCTCAGATGAGCCCACTGAGCCCACTTGTCTGGTTGTCCCCCATTTGGGGTGCCACCAGAGTTTAATATATGGCATTAAACCGGGATTGGGAATGAATACGAAGCCTACCTCCCATTGGGAGTGTAATGAATGATTATAAGGAATAATCTTCGTCATGCAGAAATCCTTTAGTTTAGTTTCTGTCATTTTATTTAAGTTACTGTCTGTTGAATATGGCAATATCTTTGGCTATTTTTGGCACACTTAAGATTTTGAATTGTGTGAGTGAGTTTATAAAATGCGTATCTTGCAGATGCATGAAGTGAGCTTTAATTAGTTTTTTTTCTCAATGCTCTCAATCCTCCCGTCCTTCCTTTGTGATTATATTTCATCCAGCATAATATCATATTTTGGTGTACAGGCTGCCATATTCTTTTAGTTTTGCTTGTTGTTTGTTTTACAAACCTCACAAGTCCCTTCTGCTTCAATAAGCAAAAGATAGGAAGATGGTTTCAAGAGATGTAACAATTAGTAAAGTCAGTGTAACAGTAAATCACGGGAACAGGGAGCGATGGCTATTGTTTACCCATGATGCATCAGTGTTCTCCTGGGGTGAACTGTGAAAGGTCAGACAGTGTCTCATTAAGACGTATTGTTCTATTAATACACAGCTGGTCTGTACACCTAAGGAAAGAGCATTAGCGGCATTACAAAAGTTTTCATTGACAAATCTGTGACTGTGGGGTGGTGGGTTTATAAATTGTTTCAAAAATGTGTCTTACGAGTATTTAACATTATTAGGTTGACATGTTGGTGTAGATGTCATTGTCATAGTTAAGTGAACATTTCCTTCCTGTTCAGTTAATGAAGCTATTTAATGAACCCGAAACATAACTTATGCCCTGATTTAACATATTTGGAGAGGGAATTAACAGCTGATCTTATGTTGTTTGTGTTGTCTGGCAGATGTTTCTATACATTTAGATAAGTCATAATGAAATATCTTTACAAAAGCTCTATTCTTGAAGTAATCCTGTACAAGTGGTGCTCTACCTGCTGTATAAGATTGTATGATGGTATATGCCTGAGTGCAGCACATGCAATAGGTAAAGAAATCGTCCTAAATAAAATAAAAATCATAGTGAACCTGGGGGGAATGACATTGCCTACATGCAACTCCAAGGGGAGAAAACATGTGGTGCATTCAGGACCACTAGCGGTCAGATTGGCTCCGGACTCGACTTGTTAATCCTTGAGGCACCCAGGCCAATAAATGCTATAGTTTAAGAGATCTCACACAGCAGCCAGTGTCCACTGTGTCCACGGCTGCTTCAAATCTGGAGATGTGCGGACACGTGAACTACGTAAAATGCACTCATGATTTGTGTGTGAAACCATTGGACATGTGCTGAGGTCAATGGTGTTTTACGTCATTTTGCCATTTTTGTTCGCTCTCTTGTGTTTACACTTAACAATTACATCATCATCACACACATCTGTATAACAACATAACCGTACATAACTGCATAAAAACCACTGCCTAGTGTATGAAAAACATCTTGCCGTAGCCTATTTCCTACGACCATCCTGAATTTACACTACAACAGCAGCCCGGTGTAGCAGCATCAGATGGGACACCTCATCTGTTTAATTTTCTATTCAAAAGCGTCAGAGGGGCCTCCGTTGTGTGTTCTAATGAATAAAACACGATGTTTATCCTTGCTGTTTAACGTTAAGTCCCCATGAACAGTCACAGGGACCAAGAGAATATTTACTTGCATTGTGGCACCGGGGAGTTGGATTATCTGCTGGCGGCTTTGTAGTTTTCTGAAGCTTCCCCGTGTGACATGTTCCAGGGAGAGTTCTCTTATTTACTCTCTAGTCCTCTGTGTATAGTCGTCCTTATTGTTTTTTGCTCATGTGCCACCGCTCCTGAGGATTGTGCTCCAGGAGAAAGACTGTGATCATTACATGGGTTCGAAACTGGGGATTCCAGAAGGAATCAGATGCAGGTGTTGTCACCACAGTATTCCATAACAAAAGGGGATTTCATGTTGACAAGGACCTTAAAAAAATAAAAATAGTATTCTTCAGGGAAATGTTTTTTATCAAGGATTTCTATGAAAGGAAAGGAAAGGGAATTTGAACGTGTTTGTTTTGAACAGAAATGCTCCTTTGGTCATAAAGACTTATGCAAGGGAAAGGTTCTTTTCACATGAGCTTCAAATCCTCCAGTAAATCTGAGAGCAAGCCAAAGGAGACACTATGAGGATAAATGATTTTTTTAAAAAGATGAAATGAGAAAGGTTTTTTTCATTTAACAGAAAACAATTTTCACAATGGACACGCGTATACGGAACCTGATAAAAGCAACATGGAATATTATTTTGTACCGAAAGGTGGCGACATTGGGTTGTAATTCATCTAGACCGATGCCAGTTTGACCTCGTCCATCTGATGTGATTATATGTGGAATATCGACTGTTTTTCTAGCAATTGTATGTGAAACATAGGATTAACCTATGGCTCATATTATATTAGGATGCATGTCATTTCTAACATTTTGGGAAGAGTGATTGAAACAGGTTTGGTTTTAAGTCGAGTTTAACTCTTTTAATTATAAATATTCCTATATGAGATGCCATGCGCAAGTGCTGCTATGTAAACACACCGGATTTCAGTTAGATTAAACTGGCAATTCCGAAAAGAAAAAATGGTGAGAAAAATGACTCTTAATTAAAACTCTAAATGATATTGTAATGAGATTAATATGATGATGGATGAAGATTGAATGCACATTGAATTTAACGATTTCCTAAAAATAAATATTCAGCTGTATATTTACCATCGGGCACATTCTGTCAATCATCCACGTCTGTTTTATTTTACTGGCTTTTGTTCTTCTTCTCCATGCAAAGTGGCAAAAGAATGAATATTTTGTGGCATATGGCACAAGGCAATGCGCTTGGACAGTTCGGAAAACTTTGGTTTCTATACTATTATGCTAATTGCGTCCCCAGGCCGAGCTCCTCATTGGCTGAGTCTCGGACAATTTCATATTTCAGTCCTGACGTCAGGGCGCCTATAAAACTAAGCAATGCTTTTTAACTCGTCGGCTGACTGATGCATTAGAAGAAGAAAAAACTATCAATCCTAGGGTGGAGTTTTTTTTCTCCCCACAAAGCAACTGTTTGCCCGGGACACGTGCGTGAGCCTCCTCAATTTGGCGCACTAATCCTAAAAGGAGCCATGAAGTGTTAAATGGTAGAAACACAGACAGCGGCGCTCAGACACCCGCACGCTGGGAGAGAGGGAGGAAACAGCGCTGCTCCAATGCGTCTGTGCAACACAGGCTGAAGAAAAAAAGAAAACTTATCGACTCACAAAACCGCAACCTGCGCTGCGCAATTTGTGCGTGAAAATCCACTTTTTCTCCGGTTTTGAAGAAAACAAATAAAGAAATCAAGCTGGCTCAGTGCGTGTCTCAACAGCCCACTTTGACAGGTGCTCCTCACCCCCTTTGGAGGACTGTCAACAGCAAGAGGATGGCATCAGAGCTGGCAATGAGCAACTCCGACCTGCCCACCAGTCCCCTGGCCATGGAATATGTTAATGACTTCGATCTGATGAAGTTTGAAGTGAAAAAGGAGCCGGTGGAGCCCGATCGCAGCATCAGCCAGTGCAGCCGCCTGGTCGCCGGGGGATCCCTATCTTCCACCCCGATGAGCACGCCTTGCAGCTCGGTTCCCCCCTCGCCAAGCTTCTCGGCGCCCAGTCCGGGATCAGGGAGCGAGCAAAAGGCGCACTTGGAGGATTTCTACTGGATGACCGGGTACCAACAGCAGTTGAACCCCGAGGCTCTGGGCTTTAGCCCGGAGGACGCCGTAGAGGCGCTGATCAGCAACAGCCACCAGCTCCAGACCTTCGATGGCTACGCCAGGGGACAGCAGTTCGGCGGCGCAGCGGGGCCAGGAGGCACCATGGCCGGGGAGGAGATGGGATCGGCGGCCGCCGTGGTATCCGCGGTCATCGCTGCAGCCGCGGCTCAGAACGGGAACCCACACCACCACCACCACCATCACCACCACCACCACTCAGGGGCACACCATTCCTCCTCCGGGTCCCAATCCAGCGGCGGCGTGGGGGGGAACCACCAGCACCTGCGCTTGGAAGACCGGTTCTCGGACGAGCAGCTGGTGACGATGTCGGTGCGGGAATTGAACCGGCAGCTGCGGGGGGTCAGTAAGGAAGAGGTGATCCGCCTGAAACAGAAGAGGAGGACGCTAAAGAACAGGGGCTACGCGCAGTCCTGCCGGTACAAGCGGGTCCAGCAGCGGCACGTCTTGGAGGGCGAGAAGACGCAACTCATTCAGCAGGTGGACCACCTCAAGCAGGAGATCTCCCGGCTGGCCAGGGAGAGGGACGCCTACAAGGAGAAATACGAGAAGCTGATCAGCACCGGCTTCAGAGAAAACGGAGGATCCAGCAGCGACAACAACCCCTCATCCCCGGAGTTTTTCATGTGAGTCTCGGCGCTGAAAAAAAAAAAGAAAAGTTGTAATAACCGAACCTCGGAAAAGAAACTGGGAGAAAGAAAAAAAAACTTTTAATTTTCACGCAGCTGAAAAATAGGTCGAGCGTGTTTGATTTGGAGTTATTTTGATAAAGCTGCGATAGTTAAGGACAACAGGGGTTTGCACCTTTCTCTATTTCGTTTACTTTCTTTTCACCCTTAAACCGAGCTACACATTTATCCCTGTTTAACGACTTTATAATAATTCAATTTCCACAAATGTTTTAAAGGATTTCTTTCCCATTCGTGATGTTTGATCTGACAAACCGCATAAAATGACATCACACTTTTCTGTGCATCGTCCATCCTGTCGCCTCCACTCAAAATTACTTTTATGAAATCCAACATTCCTCAGCAACAGCAGCTACATCATCATGGACATGTATTTTATTTTTCCATTGAAGTCATTTTTGACATGAAAATCAAATTTTCACATCATCCAAAGCCATTTGTCATGTGAAAAGCATCCGAACTCAGTGACAGCAGCTGTCGGGCTGTAAGAGACGCGGAGCCACGCATTGCTGCTCATGTACGGACAGTTTTCTTACTTATTTTATTTTTTTTCCTTGTGTTTGTCAATGTATGCCGCTTGTATTCTACCACGAGTTGTTCAGTTTCATTACCTTTTGGGATTTATTTGCAAAGCGTGTGAACAGGTGCATTCATCCATCACTTTGCTTTCACAAAAGTTCCCCGCGAGTGGATCCTTCGACATCTCACAGGCTGAAATAACATCATGGGGGGGGGGAGCAACTTCATGCTCAGCAATGATTTATGTGCTCGCAGATAACATTCTGTCAGGGTGAGAAAGGTCCGAAGATTTAATAAAACAAGAGATATTGTTTATTTTTTATTGGCAAATGCAGATAGATTATTGCGATCAACAAGTGGGGCTGAAGATGAAACGCTTTGAATAGAACAGAAGCATTTTCTTGAAATACATTTAAAAAAGACCGCTTTCTTGCGCAAAAAAACAAACAAATGATGTGTTGTTAAGGTGTTGTCCTTTCATAGGGAACGTAATTAGGTTTACTCAGAACCCTGTGGGTGTTATTCGGTTAATAAACTGTCAACTGTGTGGAAGTGGAAATGATAAGTTCTCCCGCTGCTGTAGAACGAGCTACAAGTCTTTTGTGATGCTTCCTGAACAGTCAAATCTTTCGTCTGGACAGTACAATGAACCGGCAGATATCGTGCTCTCTTTTAAAAATGGAATTTAATAAACGCACTTTTCATAAATAAACCGTCGTGAATGGAAAGCAAATATATTCTTCTGAAAATCTTTGGTATTTTTTGTTCGTTTGTTTTCGCATGAGGTTTGTTACTGTGTCTCAGAGACACCTCACACTGTCCCCTCTGCACTGCTCCCAGTCAGAACTGAAATATAAACAAGAGAAGTTACACGTCAGACATCCTAAACATCTGTTGGGTTTCGACTGAATCGCGATGCAGATGTTGCGCACAAGGCGCGTTCAACCGCACCAAGATCAGGCTCATTGAACTCCTTTTATTCTTTCACTCAATGTGCGTTTTTATTCTTTTTCCCACTGAGCAGCACACGGTGGAATAAGTAATTAAAAGAAAAAAGGAATTCATTTTTCTTATTTGGCTTCTCGAGTAATAACAAGGTACGTTTTCTACTTGTTGCGCAATCAAAGACGAATAAATCAATTGTTTTACAATAAACGTGAAGAACATCACACTTTAATGTTAAGTATTGATAATATAAATTCACTTTAGCCCCAGGGTCTCATAGAAAAGACCGAATAAATGATTATGAGGGTAAACTTTTTTTCCAGTAGGCGAGTTTCATTTCAAATTAACCAAAGACGATCGCCTGCACGATTTTGCATAAAAACTTACTTTTGAAAATAGGTATTCTGACGGCATGGAAATAATACCGTCTTGAAATAAACTTTCTAAACCTAATAATACTGCCGTGATACAATTGCAATTATCTAATTATTGGTTGGACTAAAACGTGCTTAACGTTTATGTTGCATTGGTTATGGCACGTAAAGGTATTTCGGCAATCCACCACTTTCGCGTTAGTAAAGACACGTTATTTAACTGTGACACAAGAAATCCTGATAAGAGGGGAAAAAGGAGTTAAAGCCACAGAGGCACTTGGGGTAATTCGGGTTTGTAGCAGAATTTGGCCTGAACTCTTCTCGTAAAAGCCGCTCAGTGCGTCTAAAAGAGCGCTATGTTTGAGATAAAAGCTACGCGTTCTGGGTTAGGCTGCCTTACAAGGTCACTGCCACCATGTGCGTGCGCGCGCGTGTGTGTGCGTGTGTGTGTGTGTGTGTGTGTGTGTGTGTGTGTGTGTGTGTGTGTGTGTGTGTGGGAGGGTTGTTATCGTTTCCCACTGAGAGACCTTTGCAAGTCTGCTTGTGCTCTAAATGTAAATATGGAGAGGTTTTTTGGGGGGGGGGTAAAATATTGTCTGTGTAGCTCACAAAAACTTTCAAATGCACCACAATGATGGTGTGTCACAGACAAAGACTGTACAAGCTCTGTGTCTCACCTTACATTGTCACACACACATGCACACACAGAGTCACCTGCCTTGCAAATAGGTCCCTCCAAATCCCAGTGAGGCACAGGATGGAGAGCATCATCCTCTCATGCCTTGAGGAATGATTTTCTCTGTGATTAAAAGTGAGTGAGGGACAGCGTTACAGCATGAGGGATAGATAGAGAGAGAGAGGAGAGGGGGGGGGGAGATACCGGCTGCCTTCCTGCTCCTTTCAGATGATAAACGATCAGAGATGCGTCCTAGCTGAGAGAAGAGGGCCTTTTAGTGAGCATGTGTCCACTAATTTATGGCCTTCCTATCTGATTAGGTCAATATAGTGTGCTATTTAATTACATTTGTGTTATAACCTAGAAGTGGAGATGCTATTCTTCTTCCACGGCACCCCTCTCTTCTGGGAGGCGGAGGGGGGGTCAGTTGACTTTCCTGTGGAGTCTCAGGCTTTTACTCGGCACTGTCTTACCTCGAGCGTTATGTGACGGACAGGGCGTCTACTTTATGTAATGGTTGGTAGCTCTCCAGCGTGTGCTCCATTACTCGATATGTAAGAATTGTAAAGTGGAAAAGTGCTGATCATTGAACGGGTGGAAATTGAGTGGGACGCTTTCGGCTTGTGTGTGTGTGTGTGTGTGTGTTGTGACTTGTGAGCACACTAAGGGGCTGGAGGATTCCGTAGCACTGATGCGCTTCCTGTCTCGAACGGGACAGAAGGCACAGGAAACAATGTCAGCGCTGCCTCCACATTTCTCAACCTCTCTCATCTGTTTAGCATGAAAAAGCGAGTACATATAGAATACAGACACACCACGTTATTCATCTTATCAGTGTGGACTGTAATTCTATTCTCTGGCCCAGCATATTGACTTCTGCACTGTGATCATTTGCAGTCTGTCCAATGATTAGGTTATTAAAGATAATGTAGTTGTCTGCTGTCACAATATTGGACTTTCTCTTTCAGGTCAACTATGGGAAATCACTTTGAAATTTATCAGTATTGACATTCGTATCATCATCAAGTGTGTTGTTTTAATGCCTCAAAATGAATAGTACAAAGGACGTGCGCACTTTTAGTTTCTATTCGTGAGAGTGCTCAATAACCAGCCAGCACTGTCTTGTATTTGACCTGGTGGAGGACGGGTGTTCACTAAGTGCATTATATCTATTGGAATGAATCATTGTAGCGTGACATTGTGAATCTAGCAGCTTACGTCAATCAAAAGTATATCTAAATAAAGTCAAATAGGCTCACTTGACTCAAAAACACACAAAAGCTCAGCTCAATCTTTTTTTCTTGAACTGCCCAGAGTGCACAAATAGCTTCTTTATTTTGATTCATCACTGTTAAAATAGGAAGTGTTTCTTTTCTCACATTCAGTGGAGCAGTAAAACTATTTTTTTCTTAAAACAGTACCTAAAAAAAACAGACTGTACTACTAATATATTCAATCCAATATGTTATCATTTCATGACTATCACTGAATCAAAAACTATATGTTTTGTGTTACTAAAAATGATTGCGTAACAATTGGAGCCTCATGTTCCATTTCTTTTCTTCCCAGTAAGTGCTCCCTTTCCCCATGACAAGCGCTCCTAAAGGGTAGAAAACATATTCGCATTCAAAAGAGGAAACAATTTCAATCTCTTCCACTCAATCCGCATCTGCATCACTCCATGCGATAAACATTTACATTTAAATTGATTTAAATCAGCTGCATTTATGTTCCTCTGTGGTCCGTCCATCATCTAGACCCGCAAAGCCAGAGCTTCTCTCCCCTACCCTCCTCTCTCTCCCTCTCTCTCTCCCTCCCTCCCCCTCTCTCTCTTCCTCTGTCTTGCTCGGTGTCCTGAGTTATGTGTCATTTATCTGAAACCCTAATAATTTAACTTGTCCCCTCCTGTCGTGGCCGTGCATGTGGTAAGAATGAAGCGGCTGTGAAGCTGCCTCTGTATGTATCTGATCCGCTTTACACGGTGATTTCTTTTCCAGCAAATGGAAGCATGGGCACAGTAGAGTTTATGTGATTGTCTGAATCCAATCCTATAGTCCCGTGTTGAATTGAGATTACTGTGAATGCTCGGCTGTGAAGGAACGTGCATACATGTAATGTGTCTTGGGTTTGTTGCAGTAGAATTAAGACACTAGATTTGCATATACTTGTATAGGGAGCTCTCCTCAGAATGCATCACTAAAGGGCAATAGATGAAAGCTAATTATGATTTAATTACATGTGATCACAATATTCTGACTCACGGATAAACATAGCTGAGGCTGTGTTGATGTTTTCAACAGTGAGGGGACGTGGTGGGGGGGTGGGGGGGTGTTTAGAAACTAAGGGCATCATGCGACTCTGAGTGTGTGCGTGTCTATGTGTGCGTCTTTAAGCCTTGCACGTGCCCGTGTTTGCGTCATGCAGGGCGGAGCCGAGCCCGACCCCTGTGTGTTTTACCTGCATCTCAATGAGGCGAGAGAGTTGATTTACCCCTCTGCTGCAGTAAGACGCTCTCTCTTTATGTCTCTCGCTGTCTCTTTGTCTCTCTCTCTCTCAGCCAGTCAAACAGACATTGATCTCTTAGCCCGGCAAGGTGACCCACCGTGTTGTTCAGCTTTTGCAAAGTCTCTGCTCTCCCTTTCATTTGTACCTGGGAAAGGCCTTGACCCCACACACTGCTGCCACATAGCAGCGCTGTGCACGCCGGCCCCACTTCCCCCGTATCAAGGACAGAGTGCGCATAGTAGACACGTGTGTCCCAGCGGGAGTGTGCGAGTGCGTGAATCTCAGCCTATGTGTGTGCTTGAATGTTCCTCTGTGTGTGGTGTGTTTATTAAGCACCGTTTGTCTTTTACCGGTAGCTGAGTGTGATTATGTGCAGATTGATTTATATGAGGCTGCAAAGGTACATTCTCATGTGAGAGTCTTGTGTGTCCATGTTGAGCATTCGTCTGTGCTGCGAGCTCCTCTATAGCTGAATGGGTCAGAGTCCATTTGGCCTCAGGGTGAATCAGGTTACAGGGAAATGAATGGCCCTCATTGTTGGAAAAAGATGTACTTTGTTGCTCCTTTGCCTCAATTTCATTCTACCGGAAGGCAGCAAAAGGCTTTTCAGAACGATCGTTTTTTTTTCCCGTATGTACGCTCACATGGGTGCATATTTTATTTACTCTTACAAACATTGCTGTCTGATGGATTAAATCCAGACATTTGTGAACACTGTATAGTTAAATAAATAATTACAGTGTTTAATAAATCATTGCTATAACGTAACGTTTCAACTTACAATTTATTTTAGATACTTTTTATGTGTATTGTTTTTGCTTTTGAAATACTGCAAGGTGTGTGTGTGTGTGTGTGCGTGTCTGTTGAAATATCTCACCGATTTTATTCACAATTTCATGAATGGTTATTCTGAATTGTTGGCTTTGTATTTCAGTGAATGAAATCAGCTTTTATGCGTAATGGTTTGAAAGAAATATGATTGCCAAAAATGTCGCGCAAAGTTGTATTGGCTTTTGTAAAAAGACTAATATTAGTCTATTATATTGTTTGACCATTTTGGAACAAACAACCTAATGTTCAAATGTTTCCTGTTTTGTTGTATCACGCTCTGGGTTTTTAAAACACATTTCTGTTTCTTTTTTTCACAGGACGTCGAGAAAATTCCTCCATCTGTGATCGAGAGCTATGACTCTTCCGTCCCACTATCCTGGAGTATCAGGTAACTTGTTCTTCTCCGGTCTTCATCTTCGGCACTTTGCTTTTCAACACAAATTAATATATAACATTCACATTGTTAAAATGTTTCAAACCTCTTTCAAATTGAATAAATATAAAAAGATTAAATACCAAATATTTAGTGATAGAAAAGTGATCTAAATTTCTTCAATATATTTATCAAAACTCAGCACATAATCTTCAAACTAAGCTTAAAAAAATATTGTGATGAATAACTGATCCACTACAGAATGAACTTGGATTGGATGTTAGAGATGTTTTGGATTCATCTATATATTCGATTCAACATCCCAAAAATCAAAAACAAAAATGCTGAGAACGTTTAAAATTACTGAAAATGTTGCATATTTTTAAATTTTCAATTTCATTGTTTTCAATTACTTGATGCCAAAGTTGTCGGTGACGTAGAAATATTTCCATTCCTTTCATTCAAAAGAAAACACCTCAAACAGGAGTCTTACATATTTTCTCCTTGACATCTCAAAATGTTCAATATTAGTTAGTACATTTGAACAAAGTAAGTATAATGCCTCAAACATAAAGTAAGATTGTTGCATCTTTCCTCTGGGTGAAATTAAACCAACACCTTTTTTATTGATTTCCTTTTATAAGGAACCACTCATTTGGGACAGTAGACACCAGGGACGGTTTCATTATTAGATCTTTTTCTTGCTTCTTGTTTAGCACTCGGCCAACCTTTGATGTGTGCGATGTTATGCGTTTCTGCAGCCTTAGGGGCTCTGACAGCGCTGTTTGATTGACATGAGAGCGACACCGGCTCTGCTCATGGGATTAGGCCAAAACTTTTGCCTTGACCCTTTGACCCCTTTCACTTTCTCAGCTCTCTCTGCGGAGACAAACGTTGCACATCATTTTGTATTTCTGGCTGACACGCAGATGGACGGATGGTGCGATAGCAGAGGAGGATGCTGCATTGAGGGAAGGAAAAGCGAAAGCGACATTGTCGTGCTCTAAAGTTGGTAGTTAGAAAATAGCTGGAGAGGATGGATAGATGTAAAGAGTCAAGGCAAAAGTTAGGGAAGGAGTTAAGGGACGGAGGACAGGATGGCACCAGGAATTGTGCGCAAACATTCACTCCAGGGTGAGAGAAGGCGAATGAGGGAATGGAGGGAAGGGCTGAGGGGATGGAGGAAAGGATTGAGGGAATGAAGAAAAGGAGTGAGGGAATGAAGGAAAGGAGTGAGGGAATGGAGGAAAGGAGTGAGGGAATGAAGGAAAGGAGTGAGGGAATGGAGGGAGAGATCGAGGGAATGGAAGGAAGGACTGAGGAAATGGAGGAAAGAGTTGAGGAAATGGAGGAAAGGATTGAGGGAATGAAGGAAAGGAGTGAGGGAATGGAGGGAAGGACTGAGGAAATGGAGGAAGGGAGCGAGGGAATGGAGGGAAGGATCGAGGGAATGGAGGAAAGGAATGAGGCAATGGAGGAAGGGAGCGAGGGAATGGAGTGAAGGGTTGAGGGAATGGAGGAAGGGAGTGAGGGAATGGAGGGAAGGATCGAGGGAATGGAGGGAAGGATCAAGGGAATGGAGGGAAGGACTGAGGAAATGGAGGAAAGAGTTGAGGGAATGGAGGAAAGGACTGAGGGAATGGAGGAATGGATTGTGTGAATGGAGGGAAGGAGTGAGGTAATGGAGGGAAGGACTAAGGAAATGGAGGAAAGGAGTGAGGGAATGGAGGAAGGGAGCGAGGGAATGGAGGGAAAGATTGAGGGAATGGAGGAAGGGAGCGAGGGAATGGAGGGAAGGACTGAGGAAATGGAGGGAAGGAGTGAGGGAATGGAGGGAAGGAGTGAGGGAATGAAGGAAAGGAGTGAAGGAATGGAGGGAAAGGTTGAGGGAATGAAGGAAAGGAGTGAGGGGATGGAGGGAAGGACTAAGGAAATGGAGGAAAGGAGTGAGGGGATGGAGGGAAGGACTAAGGAAATGGAGGAAAGGAGTGAGGGAATGGAGGAAGGGAGCGAGGGAATGAGGGAAAGATTGAGGGAATGGAGGAAGGGAGCGAGGGAATGGAGGGAAGGAATGAGGCAATGGAGGAAGGGAGCGAGGGAATGGAGTGAAGGGTTGAGGGAATGGAGGGAAGGATCGAAGGAATGAAGGAAGGGAGTGAGGGAATGGAGGAAGGGAGCGAGGGAATGGAGGGAAGGATCGAGGAAATGGAGGAAGGGAGTGAGGGAATGGAGGAAGGGAGCGAGGGAATGGAGGGAAGGAATGAGGCAATGGAGGAAGGGAGCGAGGGAATGGAGTGAAGGGTTGAGGGAATGGAGGGAAGGATCGAAGGAATGAAGGAAGGGAGTGAGGGAATGGAGGAAGGGAGCGAGGGAATGGAGGGAAGGAATGAGGCAATGGAGGAAGGGAGCGAGGGAATGGAGTGAAGGGTTGAGGGAATGGAGGGAAGGATCGAAGGAATGAAGGAAAGGAATGAGGCAATGGAGGAAGGGAGTGAGGGAATGGAGTGAAGGGTTGAGGGAATGGAGGAAGGGAGTGAGGGAATGGAGGGAAGGGTTGAGGGAATGGAGGAAGGGAGTGAGGGAATGGAGGGAAGGGTTGAGGGAATGGAGGGAAGGATCGAGGGAATGGAGGGAAGGATCGAGGGAATGGAGGAAGCGAGGGGTGGCAGCAGGGCTCCGGGCCGTGGATGCAGACAGACAGGCAGGGTAACCAGAGGCAGGCGGTGACCTTCTCTGCTGCTGGATGATCGAAGGCTTTATTTAAAGGCCTGGTCAATGCAGGGTGCTGCTGAGGTATCAGCCTCGCAGCCAGGCGACTCATCACCACTGTAATACAACTCTCTAAACCTAACCCCCCCACCCCCCCCACCACACACACACACACACACACACACAGAACAGGACAGCACACTCTCTGGACACCTCAGGTTTTACACAGAACAGTCGAGAGGCTGGACGGAGGAAACTACAGCCTCAGCATCAGCTAATTTTACTGTGCAGTAGACAGTATACTCGACTTTCCTCATGCGCTCAGCATTGTGACGCGCATGCTTGTTTTGCCTTTGCTGTGCACTCCATCACTGTCCATTTTTTATACTGCTGACCAATTACACAAACCCGATAATGCGTGGTTGTGACGCTCTAATACAGCGAGGAATGTAGAGTAAAAGAAAAAGATGGCAGAATGCAGGTTGCAAAAGTACACCTGCATCTATATATGTGTGTTACTGGAATGGAGCATGTGTTTGTGCGCCCGCGTGTGTGTGAGACACCTGCGTGCTTCAGCACTTTCTGGCTGCCAGGAGCTCTGAGGTCACAGGCAGGGGGGGTGGAGAGGGCACATTAGAGGAATCTTCTGAGCCCCCACCCAGCCACCACGCCTCCATGATCCTTACCCCTGCACATCCCACCAGCCCTCGCTTTTCTCTCTCTCTCTCTCTCTCTCTTTCACTCTCTCTCTCCCCCCAATATTCCCCGTCACCCCTCCACCGCCTGCCCCTACTCGTCCACCCCTGTCGCGGTGACGGGGGGAGTCGGCCGCACAGGGACGCAAGGTGCCTCTGTGGCTGACAGCGGCGGGTCAGGTTTTTGTGCACGGCAGAGGAGGAAGGACAGATGCACACAGACGCATCGAGGTGTGTAAGAAGAAGAGAGAGAGAGAGAGCGAGAGAGCACGTGTTCAGGTGCTGTGAAACACAATGCAATCGCATGTTGGCTGCTTTCAAAGCTAAAAAAATACAACTATTGATGAAAAATATCAATACTGTCCATGCAGATGATTGATGATAATGCTTATTATTGTTTTTGTCTCCTCACTAAATACTTCTAAAATGAACAAAATAGTCAATGAAACCATATGTCATTATCTTTGAACAGGATTTAAGAAAATAAAAAATAAGCCACCACCTCCCGTTAATTAAAACATTGAATACTCATCTGAAAAACACTGCGGCTGCGTTGGGTTATTTTGTGTTTTGCAGCGACTCGGATTTGCTTCGTGACACACTTCTCTACGCAGTCACTGCACAGGATATATATAACCGCTAGCTGCTCGGTGTGAGACTCGTTACGCCGGACAGTCTTGATAGCCACACAGAAGTCATCCCTCAATCCAGAATATCCAAACGACAAGGAGGATGTGAACAAGATGAATGCTCATTATTAGGCCTGCTCTGAAAAATAGATTTGAGTTCTGGATGAGACATAACAAAAAGGAAAGATGTGTCACTCACTAGAGTTAAAGATACACAAAGCGAATGCAGAACAACTGTGTTTAGGTTTGGATTGTTTTTAGAAATGTTATATGTGTTTTTACTTTTTCTTACAACAGACAAGACAATAGTTGTGGAGAAAACTGCACCCTGGAGCCAAACATCTTACAACAGCGCGCTCCTCTTTTCAACTTATGTTAATATACAACTTTCTCTCTGATATTTCAGTTGTTTAAAGCCCTGGATTGTGTTTTTTTTATTCAAACATAATTAGTAGTAAAAGCTTTCTACCACTGTGTGTATGCATGAGAATGTGTGTTCCAGAGCCTCCGAGCCATCGTGTTCTCGGGTTGTGACTGTGTGTTCACAGCGTGATTGAGGGAAGGAACTTGTGATCAGCCGGAGGTTAGTGTGATGAAATGTATTCCCCTGTATCACCGCAGCCAGCTGCCCAGGGCCTTCCTTTCCCCCTGCAGCCTCCTTCCCCTCACACACACACACACACACACACACACACACACACACACACACACACACACACACACACACTTCCTCGCTCCCCTCGCGTTACCGTCCCCTCCTCTCTCTTCCCTGCGGTGACTGCCCAATGCTAGCTGCTTAGCGCCGCGCTCGGCGCCTAATTGAATTCCAGCACTCCGGCGTTAGCTCCCGATGCTACAGAGATGTTAACACGGCACAATACTAACAGTCCTCGGGACGTGTTTCAACACCCTGCTCCTAAAGAGAAAATGAGAGCTAAGCTCGCTCTGGCAGCACATGATTTATTCAGAGCTCCAAACTATG